AAGACTGGATTTCCCTCGGGTGCACAGTCACAAAGACTGGATTGCCCCGGGCCCACAGTCACAAAGAGTGGATCCCCCCCCCCGAGCGTACAACTTATGGTTAGATTGCTAGCGGGTATGTTCACCTACAACACAAAGTAATACCGCCTCAACCCAACCACACTATGTCCAAAACAAAAATTGGCAAGCATAGGTAATCATAACATATCTACTAGCCTAATAGATCACTACAAAATAACAACATTCTACACATAAGGACACATACTACAGTACAAAGTATAGTGATAAAACTCACCTCATAGTCTAGCAAACATCAAAATTATTCATAAATCCAATAACCGACACTACAAGTCACCTATACAACAATCAGGGACCAATTTTTAAACTACAACGCAAAACCCTCAGATTGACCTAAAGTCAAACTTGGTCAAAAGTCAACGGTCAAAGTCAAAGTTAACAGTAAAAAAGTTCCCCATACGGTTGCCACATCTTGACCGAGCTTCTGTTACGTTGTAGTGGTCTCAAGACAAAACAATCACAAAGATTGCCTTTTCTCACGTCGTGAACACTGTTCTGGCCTCCTTAATGCTTTAAGTTCTTAGTCGTTAAGACCATTCATTCATACTTTCTGAGAAGCTTTCCCACTCCCAATGCAACATAAAAATTAGTGCTTTATGGACATGCATGTCTCTTCCATTTTAGGTCCAAAAACTTTGAAGAAATGAACTCAAACTTGTGCATGTGACCAAATACACCATATAAACATAGATTCGAAACATATAACCCCAAAGGGACCCTAAGGATCCATAAAGTTGCCAAATTTATGGAACCTAACCATTCAAACTCTCATAATCATGGAGAAAAAGACACAAGAAACCTAGATCTAGAAGCACTAGTCATAAAGGTTGGATCTTGAGGACTTACAAAGATGCAAAATATGAGCAAGGATGAGGAGAGGATGTTAGCTTGCTAGATCTTTGAACCAAGAGCTTCTTCTTCTTCAAAACACCAAAACACGAAACCACCCTTTAAATACAGAGAGGAGATGGTAGGCTGATATATAGTTGTGAAAGGAAGGCTAGAGTTTCTCTTAAGAGGCTTTAGATATAATGGAGTACAGAAAAATGCCCGAAAAATACGAAACCACCCTTTAAATACATAGAAAACCCTAAAATTCATGGGCCCGAGCTGCCCAACGCTCACCTCGTGACAGCCTGTTTGTCACCTCATGATGACTCATCACGTCGTTAAAAGTTTTTAATTTTTTTTAAAGATATTTGAAATAGTTTTTTGGATTAAGAGTTTTTATTTAAAAAATATAAATTCATAATTCATAATTCCTAAAAAAACTTCTTAAATTAAAATTGTTTTTTAAAACTAAAAAAACTTCTAAAACCTCATAAACCTTTTTGCCAAAATTAACTTTAAATAAAAGTATAATTTTGACCAGTTCGCTTATGATTTTATTATTGATTTATATGGCAGTTGACATTATTAATAATAATTAATTAATTAAATTAATAGAAAAATAAAACTAACCTCCCCTCGTCCCTAACTCTCTTCGACATACAACCCCAAGAAAGTACTTTGCCTTTTGAGTTTTGACTTTGAGTGATTGTTCATTCCGGAGGATTTGCTATTTATATGATCCTTTTTCAATAAACAAGAGTTTATATCTCATCAGATTAATTCGTATGTATATGCATTTGTATTTTTAGTATTTTTCTTCTTGTCCGGTTTGACCATTTAAACTAAAAACGATCCATTAACTCCACACAAAAAAAAACGGATTTATGTAAAAAATTTCAACCTGTTAAAATACATAATATGGAAATTAAACAAGTAAAGCTATAATCAAGTTTCAACCCAATTAAGTAATCAATTTGACACAAGAATACACGAACTTACTAGACAATTTCCATAACTTGTTGATCAATAGGGAATCTATCATTTATTTAAAAAAGTCAAGTAATCAAAGAATTTAAGTATTCAAAAATATTGCACCCTATTAATATTTGAAGTGTTCCACAATTTCCACGAATTCTTTGAAGATGAAACCAACATATAAAATCTCCAATACCCCAATCCAATAAACACAAAACAAAATTCTGTTGGTGATTATAACTTTCAAAGAATGAAAACACTCCATATCCATGTCAGCACCTTCATGTTCATATTCTCTCACTTCTTCTTCTACCCTTTTCTCAGTGTAGCCGTTGACACCATCACACCCACACAGCCCCTCACCATCAATCAAACTCTGGTCTCTAATGGTGAAGTTTTCGAGTTGGGTTTCTTTAATGCAAACAACGGTAGTTTGTATATAGGAATTTGGTATAAACAAATTCAGCAGCTAACGTATGTTTGGGTAGCTAATAGAGACACCCCCATTACATCATCATCGGGGAACCTAACCATCGTCGACAACGGCAACATGGTGCTGGTAGATCAAGTGGGAACCGTCGTCTGGTCATCAAATCAACCCACAAAGGCGGTGAAGACGGTGGCGCAGCTTTTGGACAACGGTAACTTTGTGCTTCGACCGGAAAACGATGAGAGACCGGAGAATTATATTTGGCAAAGCTTTGATTATCCGACTGATACTCTATTACCGGAGATGAAACTGGGGTGGGACAGGAAATCTGGAATTACTCGGCGTTTGCAGTCGTGGAAGACGAGCAATGATCCGGCGACTGGTGATTATTCTTTTAAACTGGATACCAGTGGCTTCCCGGAGCTTTTAACATTGAAAAACGAAACAAGAATTTGGCGAACTGGGCCGTGGAATGGGATAAGATTTAGCGGCGTGCCGCAGATGGTGGGGGTGGATATAATGCAGTTTGAATTACAGGATAATTCCGATGAGATCAGTTATAAGTTTGAAATGGTGAATAATTCTATTTATTCACGATTGGTTATAAATTCTTCTGGTATTAATCAAAGATTGGTTTGGGCCAAAACAACAGAAACCTGGAGGGTGTACTGGTCTTTCCCCGGTGATTGCGATCACTATGGTGAATGTGGTCCGTCCAGCGTTTGTGACACAACGACTGCACCATTCTGCAATTGTTTGACCGGATTCCAGCCAAAGAACAAACAATTATGGGATCTCCGAGATAGAACGGACGGGTGTGTTCGGAGCTCTGTAATGGATTGTGGGTCGGATGGATTTCTGCAATTGAAGAACATGAAGTTGCCTGAGAGTTCGAAAGCGATTGTTGATGAGATGAAGAATTTGAGCGATTGTGGTGAGATGTGCAGAAAGAATTGTTCTTGTGGTGCTTATGCTAATATGAATATCAATGGAGGCGGGTCGGGTTGTGTGATGTGGGGAGTGGATCTTATGGATATGAGACGATATGCTGGTTCTCAAGATGGAGGACAAGATATCTACGTTAGAGCCGCAGCTTCTGATTTGGGTATGTTTCTGAATTATATTTTAGCGACTTATATCGTATGTATCAAAAAGTAGTAGTTTTGCTTTAAATTTTACAACTTTAGACATTAATAATCATGAGTTTGTTGATTGCAGCTCCACCGCCGGTAGCTGAAAGTACCAAAAATGGCTCCGCCAACAGCAACCACGTTGGTAAGGTTGTCGGCATTACCATGAGTAGCTTTGCGGTGCTCATATTTATTCTGATACTCGTCTACTTGAAGAGGAAGCAAACACGAACCTTGATAACATCAATGGATAGAGAAGGTAATTTTGACTTTTTTAGAGTCAAACACCATAGTTTATAATTTTGAAAGCAATAATTAACATTAAGGTAACATAAAGGATAAGTGCAAATGACTATAAAATACTAAAATGAATGTAGTCCTGTAACAAAATAATCATATTTCGTGCAAATATTCATTTTTCTTTTCTTAAAAACATCATTTTTTGTAATGATGACCATTCATAATTGATAAATCAATTTCCCAAAATCAAGTTTTAATATGTCTATTTTGTGATATTGTTCAAAAGATGGTCAACTTATGATAAGACCCATCCCTTTTCGTTTTAGTAAGTAAGTAGTTAACCCTATAAATAATTCATAACTAGATTAACCCATCAACAGTTTTTAACGTTTAAACAAATTTCAGTTACAAGACTTGAAAAATAGGATGCAAGTTTTCATTTTGGATAGAGAGAGTTCGAACTTTTTAAGTCAAAACAGACCGGGTGAGACTTCATATGTGCTTGATATATTTTGTTTGATCCAAAATAGGTCCACAAGGAAGAACCGAAGATTCCTTAGTAAATGATGAGGTTATTATACCAAATAGAAGAAGAGATAATCGTGGCAAAACAACTATCGATGAACTTGAATTACCCTTGTTTGATTTTACAACACTCGCTATTGCAACAAACAACTTCTCAAAAACAAATGAACTTGGGAGAGGGGGGTTCGGGCCTGTTTACAAGGTAAAGTACTAGTACTAGGAAATATGTGAACATCTAAAATTAAGGGTGTTAAACCTATCTGATTCCAAAATTTGATATGGATATTTGATAATCTGAAAATTAGAGTAAATATTATCAATAGTTTATGATATGCAGATTATTGAAAAATCCGAATTATATGTATCTTCATTTGTTATTTGAAATTGGAGTAAATATTTTCAATAGTTTTTGATATCCACATTATTGAAAAATCCAAAATATACATATCTTCATTTGTTATTTGAAATTACTTTACTTTTGTTATTATTTTTTGTTTTTTAATTATTCGAATATTCAAATAAGACAATAGAAAAAAGATAAATAGTTGCATTATTGTTGTTGGTGATATAGGGTATATTAACGAAAGGTGAAGTTGTAGCGATAAAAAGGCTCGCAAAAATCTGCGATCAAGGGATTGAGGAACTTAAAAACGAGGTTCAATTAATCGCGAAACTCCAACATCGAAATCTTGTTCGGGTATTGGGTTGTTGCATTGAGGTGGAAGAGAAGTTGCTGATTTATGAGTTTATGGAAAACAAAAGTCTTGATTTGTATCTTTTTTTTGGTAAAAAATTTAGTGGCATTGTTTTTCTTCTTTTGAAACCCGAGTATTTTTCCACCAAAATCTAACTATGTTTTCTTAAAATCATTATAGGAAAAGAGGAAAGCATGAAACTTAATTGGAAGATCCGACTCGAAATTATACGTGGGATTGCACGAGGGCTTCATTATCTTCATCATGATTCAATATTACCAATTGTCCATCGAGATATGAAAGCAAGTAATATTTTGCTTGATAAGGAAATGAACCCGAAGATATCAGACTTTGGTATCGCAAGGATTGTTGGAAGGGATCAAAAAGAAGTACTAACAAAAATAGTGATTGGAACATAGTAAGTATCTTTGTACTTTATATATATATATATATATATATATATATATATATATATATATATAT